CGCACGTCCAGTTAGAACACAAGGCTAGCCCGAAGGCCCATGTTCCTTGAGGAGGGACGAACGTCCGAGGTTGGGGGTTTCAGGCCCAACGGCTCATCTCGACGAACGGCTGCGCAGGGACAAGGAGCGGGGCCACGGGCCACCAGGGATGACGACGAACGTCTCTAGAGCAAGCCTATAGTCATCGGAGGGAACCCAGTCCACATGGTGAGTATCCATCAAGGACAGGAGACGAACAGCCGGTATCTCTTGAGGGTCGCTTGGGGCGATCAAACTCACTTCCCGGGCGGACGAACGTCCCCACTGACGAGGCGGGAAACCTAGATTCTGGCGGGAAGTGCATTTAATGCTGAAGATTTGGTGGTTGGGGCACCAGCGGTCCATAGGCTGCCACGTCAGTATAGCCACCTGCCCATTGGTGGGTATAAGTAGGAGCATTTATTTCATTGTAAAGGGTTGGCAACTTTCTATTCTTAGCATTCTAGCTTTAGCATTCTTACTCGCAGCACTTCTAACTGCCTAGTAAGACGAACGGCCGACGGAGCCTTAGCAAAGAGTACTGTATTAGGGAGTTATTAAGAGATAATAATACCTAATCACTTACTTGCTACTTCCTTGTTCTCTCTAATCCATACCATCTGCTTGTTGGGCTAGTTTACTCACACACTCCATTCGAAATCCTTGGGCTTACGTGTTGGACCCGGGGGTTGAAGGAATAAACCTCAATAGTATGTTTCAACTCATTCAAAAGAAAATGCTTATGTAGGAAGTAGGCATTATTTGATGATTTTTTTCACTCGGTGGCAAAGACTTGACCTATGAATACAATAAACAGAAATGGCAAGCCCACTAGCTGAACGCATGAACCTGTGAATCTATAATTTGGTAGCTTCAGGATCAACATTTGGCTTATTGAGGCATACTGATTGCAGAAGTCATGGGAGCAGTGTGGATGCATCATAGGGTGACTTGACAGAGAATGCATGGGATTAGGCACATTACTAAATACTAACTATTTTTACGGCCAATCTTTGACTTGCAAGGTTTTTGTTTGTTCTTGATGGTCTCTAACTCTCTATGTTGAATCTTAACTTTAGATTTACTTTTTTGAATCTATTGGGAGCCCGTCACTATTTCGAGTAAGTTGGGGGCGGGGGTTGATGTTGATCATTATTTTCTGTATAATTCACTACTTTGTTATGGTTGGGTTATCATTCACTTGAAAGATTGTATTTTCAGGGAGGAAGTGCCACCAAAGAGCATCGATAAGGAAAAGTAATGGCATATGAATCACATTCGAGATTGGGAGAAATTTAATGAGGCACACCAACACTGATATAAGGGCAAGATACCAAAGGAATGATAAGAAGCAAGACCAAATAATATAATAGATAAATATACTAAATTGGAACAATAGATTGAGTTTTATATCCATTGTGATATTTTTATGTATTGTTTGTTTCTTTTTAATGCTTTTTGTTGCATCATGTTGCTTTTTGTTACATCCTGTTGTTTTTTGTTGCATCCTATTGCTTTTTGTTGCAACATGTTTCGTTTTGTTGCACTGTGTTTCTTATTATTGTTCATTGGTGATTTAGATTTTTAATGTCTATTTAAGTTTCAATTTATCTTTTCTACTTCTTCCTTCAAAGAGAAATATCATTGTAATTTTAAATACAAACATCTAAGGGATTATGTCCTGAATATTACAAACTTTGAACCAATTACCAAAAAAGTGAACACTTTTAAAAAGGGGCAAAAAAGTGATCAAGAAGGTCATATCAATGTCATTCCCAGATTTTAATGTCACTATCATGTTTTAATGTCACTATCAAATGTCACTGCCGCCGCTGCCCGTGTCACTGCGGCCACCGCTCGTGTCACTGCGGCCACTGCCCGTGTCACTGCGGCCACTGCCCGTGTCACTGCGGCCACCGTCCGTGTCACTGCGGCCAATCACCACAGTGACATCTTCGCCCGGCCTTTCACCACATTGACTTCTCTCCGCCTCCGGCCACCTCCGCGGCCACAGTTACACCACCGCGACATCTTTTCAGTGACAATTATTCCACAGTGACACACAATTAGCCCGGCCACTTTATTCTGGCCACCACGAATCACCACCACCAATCATTGTGCCTCCCTATACACCCCACTTCCACTGTCCTATCCACCCAAACGTTCATCACCGGAAAATCCCCATCCCTTACCTCTCCACTCAAACGCCCAGAACCCGAAAACCCCACATCCCCATTCCTTGCCCACCATCCAAACATCCAGCACTGGAACCCCCCCATCTCCTGCCCCTGACTAGCCCTCAATCACTTCCCAAGCTTCAACTCCGACCACCCGCATCAATCCCCCCGGTAGCAGTAACGATTGTTCAAGTCACCGGAGCCCTTCCAGTGCGTGGCCGGCCTCTCAGCCCCAGTCCCGACGTAGCAAATCTAGCCACGACCTGCAACAAACGTTCCGCCTACAATCCAATAGATCTGGGATTAGATCTGTGCGATTGAGTTTTAGGGGGAGAAGAGAGATGCGACGCAGACCGACGACTCTTGCGGCGGCGGCACTCCCTGAGCTCCGATGGCGTCTGCAACTCTGCACTCTAGCGAGCTCCCGTACCTGCGATGATCCAGCCTCCATGGATGAAGACGTCGGCATCCACCTTCCCATTAACCGCAAAGAAAAGAGAAGGAACATAAATCACGCAGATGGGGAGGGCGACGTCGACCGACACGGAGCAGAGAAGAGGATGGCGGCCGCCATAGGCGTCGGTCCCCGCCTGTGAAGTCGATGATGGAGGAGCTATGGAGTAGAGACCCGCTGTGATCGACCATTCCCAGAACCGTAGATCTGATGAGGAGGAAGCATAGATCTCAATCAGGAGCTTAGATCTAATTAGATTTAGTCACTTTTTTGCAAAGTTTTAAAATGGTCATATTTTTTAAATTGGAAAGTTCAATGGTAATACCGGAGTCATTCTTTCAACATCTAATATTATTAATTATGATTTATGCATATAAACAACTAGAAAGTAGAAACATAAGGAAACAATAAGAAACAAAAAATTCAAAGTTATCAACAAAAAGAAATAATAAGAAACAAAAAATAAAAACAAAAAAATAATTGTAATTAAATGAAAATAATTGTAATTAAATGAAAATTTTTTTTTTTTCAATTTATTTCAATTTTCAATATGTTTCAACTTCATTATTTTAGCTTTTCACATTTTTTCCCAAGTTTTCAAATTTTACTCTTCAAGTTACATTAAATTTCTATTTTTTTTGTAATATTTGAATATTGTTTTTTTATGATTTATAAAATTAATTCATTTTTTCTTTGAATATTTTCAAATTTAATATACTTATTAGATTTTTATTTTTCTAATATGTATAATTTTCAAGTTTTTTTAAAATAATCACTTCTTCATAAAAGTTTGTAATTACTTTTGATATTATTTATTATTTCAAAACATTTTTATCGAATTCACACATGTTATTTATAAATTTAATGAGTATTATATTTTTTTTTACTATTTTAAACATGTATTAAACTACCAATGTTTTATACTTTTGACTTTTATATAATTTATATAAATTATACTCCTACTAACTATTTAAAACTTGCAACATAAAAGTCGAATTGTGAACCTTTTTACAGTTTTCGTGCATTTTTTTAACTATTTTAAATTTTTTATAGGTTTACTTTTAAGTTTCCATTTTTTTGTCATTTATTTTGTAAAATTCAAACTTCATTTTATTTAAATTTTTAAATTTAATATGCAGTTTCCTATCTTTTTTTTTTACTTCGATTTTTTTATGTTGTATTCAATCAAAATTTTAATATATTTTTTGCTTTCTAAGCATTATTTTCTTTTTAAATTCTTAATGAATATTTTCATGTTTCTATTTTAAATAAAAAAAAATGTGTACGAGCACTTTCTATTAGTTTGTAGAGGAATGACTAGTGATTCAAATTGTACATGCGTATGTCAGGAGAAGCCGAGAAGTATTCCGGTAGCAATGCTTCAAAATACGAAGGAATGGTCTATTCTTGAAAACAAAACTTTAAGCAGCCCAAAATTGAAAAGTACACGTAGAAGTGAAAAAAGTGATATACTTTCGTTATTTAGTCCGCTTCCGAAAAATTCCCAATCTTTTACTTACTTGGCAAAATTAAACATATTCGGTTGTTAATAGCGCCCAACCCTAACCCCTTACCTCTTGTTACGCCACTTACAAACGAACGGAACGGAGGAAGCGAAGCCATTGTAGAGAAGCTTAGAGCAACTTACTTCTTGAGTTTCAGATGGAGATGGAGTCATCTCTTCAAAGGTATTCATATGTATTTCAGAAGCAATATTTTTATTACCATTCCAAGAATTATATGGTTTAGTGCAATTTTTATATACAAGAACTTATACATATGTATTGGTCAGGTGAAGTAAATTTAGGGTTGTGAATTGCTTAAGCATATTATTACAGTGATGAACCCTAGTTTTGTACCATTTGTGAAAATGTAAAATGTGTGTATAGCAATAGTTTCTTTGTGTGACATGCTTTGAAATTATTTATGAGCAATTAATTGTGTTGGATTGGTTGTTGGTAACATAGTTATTATTGGTGCAGACAAACAATGGAGGGCCCTACTTGTCATGTCCCCTTTGTTGTTGATCTGGGCTTCGAAGATCTTGTTATTGAGGCAGAAGCAGGCCTCTTATTTGAAGAAGAGTATAACTCAGAAAATGAAGATGATGAGGAACTAATTCATGGTAGGAGTCTGCTAAGGAAGCTGGTCACCAATTCAAGGATTCATAAGCAACCCCAAGGTCAAAATACTGATAACCAACCCACAGTTGAAGAAGAGGAAACATGGGAGGAAGATGGTTATGAAACTGAATACTACAGTTCTAGTGAAGAAGGAAGCTACAAATATGGTTCAGATCCTGAAGAAGAAGAGACTGTCAGAGTGAAATCCAGATTTCCAAGCTTCAATCCTGAAGATAAAGTCTCCTTTTCTTTGGGAATGAGCTTTGAGTCAAAAAGTGAAGTGAAAGATGCCATGGATAAATACTCTGTCACCAACAGGTATCCCTATTATTGGGCAAAGAATTGTGCCAACATGCTTAGGGCTAAATGCTCTAATTTGAACAAGGAATGTACTTGGATGGTCTACATTGCAATAGACAATAGGTGTAGCAGTAAGAAGTGGGTGGTCAAGACTTATCAGAGTGAGCATAGTTGTAACCCCGGTTGGCAGCTACCCCGTGCCACAGCAAAGTGGTTAGTCAAGAATTTTTTCAATACTAAGCCAGGAGTATGTGAGATGAAGGTGGCTGCAATGAAAGAAATGGTTAAGAGAGAACTGAACTGTGAAGTTTCCTTGGAGCAAATGAAGAAAGCGAAAGCAATGCTCAGAAAGTTGGAAAAGGGGGATATAGAGGCAGAGTACAAGGATTTGGAGGATTACAAGGCTGGAATTATGAGGTCAAATGAAAGAAATACATGCATTCTGCATGTGAAGCAGCCCACTAAAATTTTTGACAGATTTTATGTATCTTTTCATGCCTGCAAAAAGGGATTCCTCGAGGGATGTAGAAGACTAATTGGAATTGATGGGGCGCTTTTTTGAAGTCTGAAGTGAAGAGAGAAATTCTTACAGTTGTGGGAAGGGATGCCAATAACCAGATGTTTCCAATAGCATGGGCAGTTGTGGGTTCTGAAACAAAATCCACATGGAAGTGGTTTCTTGAAAATCTAGGTAGTGATCTAAACATAGGAAGAGGAGATGGTTGGGCTTTTGTTTCTGACCAACAAAAGGTTAAGTTTCAAAGTTGTGTTCTTAACTGTATGTTATATTGTTCCTGCTTTGTATGAGTGTAGTAAAGATTTGTAATATGAGTTTAGTAATATGAGTTTAGTAATATGGAATTTTTAAGTTCTTTAAATTTTCCTTTTGCAGGGATTAATGCCTGCTTTGTATGAGACATTTCCAGATGTTGAGCATAGAAGATGTGCGAGACACATATATGCAATATGGAGAAGAGGCCACCCTGGAATTCAATTACAAAGAGCATTTTGGAAGTGCTGCAAGTCTGCTTCCAAGAGGGAGTTTGAAGCAAACCTAGAATGCTTGAATTCTCTTTCTGCTTCTGCACATGAAGATTGAAGACATTCTCAAGGTAGATCCTAAGTTCTGGTGCAGAGCTTTCTTTAATAGAAGCATTAAGTGTGAGACTGTTGATAATAATTTATGTGAAGCCTTTAATGGAGTTATAGTTCCAGCTAGATCTCTATTAGGTTATTCCCAGTTGGAGTATATGAGGAAATTGGTCATGCAAAGACTGAACAAGAATAGAGAATTAGGACATAAGTGGATTGGGCAGTTAGGGCCTAGAATTAGAAGGATGATAAATAAAACAATACAAGCAAGCAACTATTGGAGGGTGCAATTTAATGGAGCAGATGACTATGAAGTGTCATGTGGGTCTGACACTTATCTTGTGGACTTGGACAATAGGAGTTGTCTATGTGAGCAGTGGGATGTTTCTGGGATCCCCTGTAAACATGCAATTTGTGCCATTAGGGATAGAGGTCATCCAATTAAGGAATATGTCTCTCTATGGTACAAGAAGGAAATGTATACTCATACTTATTCTGAGATGATGACACCCATAGCTGGTCCTTTATTCTGGCCAAAGACTGACTTGAAAGTGTTACCTGCTGAGTTGAAAACAAAAGAGATGGGAAGGCCTAGGAAAAATAGAATAAAAGAAATTGGAGAGTTTCCTTCTAGTGGAAAGTTGCCAAAGAGAGGCACAACCATGACCTGTCAGCTATGCTTCAAAAAAGGGTGTCCTTCAAAAGAGGTGATTATGCAAGGCTCAACTACTTTCCCAAGTGAAATTCAAGGTGACAGTGGTAACACTGGTGTGATGGATCAGACCCCTCCTGATGTGCAACCTGGGAGTTCCAACCCACCAAAAAGAACATGTGGAAACTGCTCCCAACCTGGGCACACTAAGAACAGGTGTCCTAACAAGAATATCTCAATTCAGGTATGGATAATATTGAATGTAATGTAAATGGTTTATGTATTGAAGTGTTAAATTGTTAAAGCAACCACTTATTTGTATGTGCTTTGCAGGAAAGTAACACTGCATCTATGACTGCACAAGAAGAAAATGGAGGTCCAAATAGGTTGCAAGCATACTTGTGTGACACGCAGGGTACAAATGAAACAACCACTGATGGTGTATTTGAGTTCAGGGGGCAAAGATCAATAAGTGCTCAAGGTTTGGAGGTAATGACATTTACATATATGGTAGTATAGTGCCAATTTGTGTGATGGTATGTGTCATGCAATTTACATTTGACTTTTATAGAGACTTAGAGCAAGGAAGGCTAAGGAGAGGAATGTGAATGCTCAAAGTTTAAGGAAAAGGCATGCTGAAGATGTGGAACCTACTGGGACTTCAACAACTGCACGCCAAAGGTTTAATGAGCTGTATGATTCCATGGAAGGCAATGCTGGGCAGTAGACTCTGAAGTTATGGGTGAAACCATGTAGTAGTTGATGCAACAATATTTAATTACTAGCTAGGAAGATCCTACTACCAGTTTTTCATATATCTTGGTGGTGTTTTGGATCATATGCTTTTTTAGATGTATTAAGGGTACATGCTACAAAGTAGTTTATGGTATTGCTAATGTACCTTAAGTAGTGACTTTAGAGCTAGCTACTATATTTTGGTATCTTGTTTGTGGTCTGTGTGCCACTTATGGTTGCAGCAAAAGCTCTTATCTGGTTGTTGTAAACTACTTCAGGATTTCATGACTTATTAATATATATTTGTGGTCATGGTGTATTACAACTTGCCAGATTTTGTTCATTATGTGATATTGTGATTAATTCATTTTGAAAATTGAGTTAAGAGTATTTGAGATGTACTTCGACTGTATTCATGTTGAATATCAGGCCATATGTTAAGGTTTGAGGTCTGTTTTGACCCAAAATGTTCAGTTCAGTAATTTGAGGTGTATTTGGACTGACACAATGTTGAATATTAGCCCATATGTTAAGGTTTGAGGTCTGTTTTGTCCCAAAATGTTCAGTTCAGCAATTTGAGGTGTATTTGGACTGATATGATGTTGAATATTAGCCCATATGTTAAGGTTTGAGGTCTGTTTTGACCAAAAATGTTCAATTCAGTAATTTGAGGTGTATTTGGACTGATATGATGTTGAATATTAGCCCATATGTTAAGGTTTGAGGTCTGTTTTGACCCAAAATGTTCAGTTCAGCAATTTGAGGTGTATTTGGACTGATATGATGTTCAATATTAACCCATATGTTAAGGTTTGAGGTATGTTTTGACCCAAAATGTTCAGTCCAGCAATTTGAGGTGTATTTGGACTGATATGATGTTGAATATTAGCCCATATGTTCATGTTTGAGGTCTGTTTTGACCCAAATTGTTCAGTTCAGCTTGCAGGAGTATTTGGACTGATATGATGTTCAATATCAGTCTATATGTTCAGGTTTGAGGTCTGTTTTGACCCAAATTATTCAGTTCAGCTTGCAGGTGTATTTGGACTGATATGATGTTCAATATCAGTCCATATGTTCAGGTTTCAGGGCATTGTATGACTCCCAATTTTCAGTTCAGCTTCGAGGTCTATTTGGACTGATATATTGTTCAAAATCAGACCATATTTTCAGGTTTCGGGTCATTTAACATTGAATATGATGTTATAACTTTTGCTGCAAATATGAATTCAACTTGTAGTTCATTCAACATGGATACCAGTCAAACACATTACAACACTACTCATACATCAAACTCATGATCTGTCATAATTGACACACAAATGAAACTCATTATCAATCAAATACATTACAACACTACTCATACATCAAACCAAAGAAACTCATACACCTAAATTACATCAGAAAGTCATACATGAAACCTAACAAAATGATACATCAAACCAAGAGCTACTGACAGATCAAATCTAACTAAGTCATACATGACTTCCTAAAACACACACGTACTTTAGATTATATAAAAACTGAAACTCTACTCTAACTTCCATTCCCAACTAATCTGTGCCAGCATCACACATCTTCAAAGCTACCCTTTTCTTGGTTTCACTGTCATACCAAAGAGCCCATATGACTAACAGAACTGATCCAGCAAGAATGCACCACAACACAGTCCAAAACCTTTGTTTTTTGAACAGCCCTTTTTCCTTTGCCTTCTCATCAGCAACCTCAGCTTCCAATCTGTTTATTTTCCTCAACAAGCCAGGAATAATCATCTTAGACCTATAACACATTTCCTCATCAAGCCATTCGAACATGTTGCAGCACACACTAGTAACCTAATAGAATATCAAAAAAAATTAGGGCATATTATAAGTTACATTAGAAGGCATATTACTACTCATATTACAACTAATATTACCAGTCATATAAGAAGAGATTTTACATATCATACAAGGCATATCAGTACTAAAAATTAAAAAAAAAAAACAATCCTTCCATGGCATTACCCTTGAGCACGCAATGAATCGTCTCCCTGGATTGTCATTTGTCCATGAAGTCAGTATCTTAGCTGGAATCCCACAGTAGCAATTTCTATAAGCCATTTGCGTTATTCCCAAACCTGAAAAAGAAACAAATTTGTTAGTTCGAACTCACCGTTTACCACACCTAAGTAAAACGCCGGAAGTGAAACAAGAAGAGAACCGCAGGAGGCAGTATGCGTATGCCGCCGGAGGAGATAAAAAGTACAGATGCGCAGGAGGGAGGAAGATGTATTTACTAGGGTTGGGTTCGTTCGTAATGTAAGAAGAGGGGGACGCTGACTTGGAGGGCAGCTTGTACCTAAAGTAAGTAAAAGATTGGCCACATCAGTAATCTGTTGGCCACCTCAGCGGGTTAGCAGAAGTAATGGGCTGAGGTACCAAATTAGCCCGCGATTGGATAGTTGGTGTACCATTGGAACTCATTTGCTACATGAGGTACTCTTTACGCTACACGCCACGAGTTCAGGTACTGAACTGACACTTTTCTCATAAACAATGTGTCTGGGTAGGCCAAATTACCAATAAACAAAAAAAACGCTACAATTCCGGGCACGGCTTAGACGCACCTTCTTTTTTCCATTGTTGGACACATATGTCCTCTCTTTCATACAGAATAGGAACGTGCATAGCATTTCAATTTTCCAACTAGTACAAGTAGACTCGAGTTTTTTCTTGGAATAATGCTAATTAAATAAATAATTCCTTTTTCAAAAAAAAAATTAATTCCCAAAATACTGTCGGGTTAAGAATAATTCCCGAAATACTGCTAGGGTTTACCATGGTTAAGCAAAGCCGCCACTTCAAGTGGCGACTCTTGTACAGCTTCACAAAAGCCGCCACTTAGAGTGGCGGCTCTTATACTGTTGTATGAAAGCCGCCACTCCAAGTGGCGGCTCTTGTGTTAAGCAAGCTGCTGCACGATTATTTACACAACTAAACCTGTAGTTACCAGAAAATCAGCTCATCACAGTCCATTCTACTCAACAAAAAAAAATCAAACATATGATTTATTAAGACAAAATACATCTAAAACACAAAACGAATCAATGAAACTACATGACAAAATACATCTGAAACACAAAACGAATCAATGAAAATACATATTATGAAACTTTCACAAAACGAATCAATGCACCACATCAAAACTTGAAATAAACCATAAAAGTTATAATAAATTCGGTGTTTCACAAAATGATTCGATCTGACAGTGCATGCTACAACTTTCACACAATAATTTAAATACAAAGATCATAAGTCAACATGATCATCATCATCATGAAGTTCATGTGGCTGTGCTCGGGGACGCCTGCACTAGTTACGAGGCTGAAGAATAACTCTATCACGTCGGACTGCCTGAGAAGACCCTGCTACGGATGTAGATGCGGTGGAATGCTGAGAGGTGGCCATATATCCATAATCCACTCGACCCAATACATCAGCGCACAGTGCAACAATGCCTGAACAAGCGTCATGGTATCCCTGTACATCTACCGCCTCATCAAGTACAGCAGTCGCTCTATCATAGATGCTACGCAAAGCCCGTGTCTGTAATGTAATCATGGTTATTAGTGAAAAACACATGAATAAATAAATAAAGCTATTTTATTGACTATATTGTTTATCGTCATATGAAGAGCGACTGAGCTAGGCTGGTAATGATCAGTGGGTAAATGAAAAATGGGAGAGATAAACACCCGTGTGATGATGTAATACCATCTCATGTAGTCTACAGAAGCTGTGGGGACTAATGATGGGATCCTGTCCACTATATATGCCGCTCTCTCATCCCACATAGTGATATACTGAATATGGCACATCCCCCAATCTTCAGTGTGCTTTCCCCGTCTATCAATCTTGTGCAAATCCACAGATGTATCACAAGGTTCGGGAGTAACCTGCTGCAACCCGAACTGATGTAGTACGTGATTAAGAAAGTGATGCTCCACTGCATCAAAACATATCAAGGGCACACGTGCTGGCCATATCTCAGTGTGCTCTCGGGCAACAGGAGGCAACAGTCCTAAAATCTCATCAGTGTACGACATCCACGTCATCTATAATATAAAATTATGTTAGACCATGGTTTATAAAAACATAAAACAAAGTACTTACATTTAATGATATAAATGATATACCTGATCATCACACAAGCAATCTCGGTAGTATCCTAATCCAGCAGCGGATGACGTGCGCGTGACATGAGCAAATAGTCATCTGAAACACAGTAATGTATAAGAATATAAAAGGGGTTCACGTACATCATACAAAAAAAATCATAAACGTACCTACGACCCAAAGGATCCTCGCCACGAAGATGATGTGGACCAAGTACAGTGTGCTGATCCATAGCATCATCAAGAGGACCACCATCTACCCCATGATATCGCAGTATAACAGGTCCGCCGAGATGAATGTGCTCACATGACCATAGCTGTATGAGTAATAAAAACTCACCCATCTTTCCAGCGTCACGATCGCAACCTCGATATAACTGTCAATATACGTATGCTAAAGTCGCACTACCCCAGTTATAAACTGCAGCTAGATCAAAAGACTCCAGAATGGGTAAATACAAGACCTGCACCTCATTACCGCT